GTACATGAAATGCGCAACATTATCAAAATGAAGCAGCGAAGTTATTTTCGGAGTGTGATCTTGAAATTAAGCAACATATTGGGAAGGTGGTCATAAGATACTCCGGAGAATCTGAAGGGAGTTTCGTTGTAGTTGAGAAGAATCTGTCACCCGCCCGAGACTGAAAGTGAGCATGAGTTTAGCCTAAAGGAAAGGCTTTGGTGCTCGGTAATTTGTCCCATTCGAAATTGTGTGCGACCTCGCTCAACTTGCCGCAAATTGTGAAAATTCAGTATTTCAATGGGATGCTAAGGACTTCTACGTCCCTTGGAAGGGATTCTGGCGTAAAAATGGCTTAAACTGGTCTCGTAGGTCAAGTAGACGTAATGTTGATGTCGACGGCGGGAGAAGGACAGAACCGCTTAGAACACTGATGATATAAAGAGTTCCGGCTTAGTCCTATTTGCTACGCCAACGAAAATGTATGGTCTGGAACTGCTGTCCCATTTTAACCCATTTTGTTTGTACGCTTTTGTTGTCGAATCCTGACAAAGAGTGGGTTAGAAAAGACGGGCTGTAACTCCACACAAGCCTGTCAACAAATTACCATACAATATCAATACAATGTCATCATCAGAGACAGCAACATCAGTTATGACACTGATGCTTCACTGCCGTACAGCCATAAATTTCAGCCAGTAATATTTAGTACCTTAGAGTAAAAATAAGATAGAAGAGAGTAAGGCAGGGCACCTTCGGTTGACAATTCTTTCCTATTCTTATTGTGTATAACGTGATTTCCCGTTTTGTTGTTTCGGATTTGCGCTTATATCGTTTTCATTCCTCTTGACTTGGGCGTAAATCGCTCTTTGACCTTGTCATCGCATGTGTTGTTTGAATCAACACGTGGGTTTCGCTATCTTGTGGCCACCTTGCTTCGGGTCGGTGTGGACTTTAGGACTCTGTTAGGAATTAACAGTTCGTAAACCGGTGTATAGAAGCCGGCGCACTCTATGGTACTCAAGTCATGGGGCCACGCCGGTGATATCATTAGCAAGATCAGGTCCGGGAAATAAGCAATCATTACTGGAAACATCTGAACTTTTTGCAGCGCCATCGAAAACTATACGGACCTTTCCAAGGCTTTCGTTGGTTGAAAACGGGATGATGCGGAGTGAAGCGCAAGTCTTTTGTTGGACCAACTAGCGGTCGACTTACATACCCCTTTCTTTCGTAAGTAGATAAGGTCTTGATGTAGTCTCTAAGGCGGCTGTCATTCCCTAGCAAGCGACCTTTCAAATAATTGGGGCGTTTTCCCGCTACATACAAGTTACCAGATAGGTTCCTCCAGCCTCCAAGGTGGTAGCACCTGGTAGTGTCGGTCCATCAAGCTAACAGACTGCTCGATGGCTTTTATAGTCTCCTTGTAATTTATCTGTACCTTTACTTTCGTCGAAACCCAATTCAAACATCCTCAGTATGTGATCCTCAACACCAGGTTCCGTACTGAGGCATTTCACTAATATTCCTCTAAGTCCTGCAGGGATGGCTGGTCTGAAAATCGCCCATACCAAGGTCGTTAGATACCCTTGGGGTGTTTCAGAGAATCCAGACGTTACTCGATAACCCAGTAGACCTCTGGGACATTAGTTCCTATAAAAATCAAGACGTTATTTCCGTGCGGGATGAACATCCGCAAGGTGCGTTCATTTCCTTAGCAGCAAATCATCCGGGATCGAAGTCTTGGTGATGGAAAGTGAGTGAGTGTAGACACAGTCGACGTTCACGACGTGCCAGCCAAGTAAAGACTGGTAAAGCAGGCTATCAAAAGGTCATGACTCATTTGATCAGGCCATACGACACAGCAAAGTCCTTCATGAACGAACTACTGGTTGGTGTGTCTACGCAATTCCTGTCATGTTGAAATCCCGCTTAATGTGGCCGAGTTATTGTTTTACTTGTCAGCACAAAGTGATATGAACAGGTAGCGCCCAAGAGTGTCGCTACGACTGGGGTTAAGCTGTTCCATTTGTGACTCGTATTCATTACGGGTCCCTGTCTTGAAAACGGGTACCATACCGATTTTCTTCAGTCTTCTTCCAACTGGGTGTAGACCGAGCAGACAAACACTGGCTAAGGACCTCACCGCCATCTTTGAACAGTGCTTGTGAGAGGTCATCTGCACCAGAAGCTCCAGAAGTTAGACAGGCAAAAACCTCCAACGCCGTTCGGCGTTCCAGGTTTGCTCTCTAGCGTATCAGTGCAGTTCGATAGAGCAAGATGGCAGGGTGTTTAGAGCGCGAATTTACTGATCTGGAATATATGGTTGTCAACCGATGTCAGTGACATCTTGTTGTCAGTTTCTATCCAGACTGCCTGAATGAATGTCTGAAGATGTAGGCACCCAGGAACGATTGTAGTAAGCTAGGACTAATTCCCTTCCCCGTCCATTTTTATTCTTTTCTTCACAATAAGGCTTTCAAATGGTTGTACGACAGGGAAGCGTCGGTGTTGGGCAGTGATGTCATGCTGTCGGTGATGGTGACATTTCCAGTTTGCAGGAGGTGCTTGAACCACATTACGACTTCCAATGCCCAGCAGTCGCCGTTGCCGTCTGAGCTTCACCTTCAAACCTGCTGTCTTTTGGCATTCAGACGGTACCTGATTATCAACGTACGAGCCAAGCCTACGAATCCGCTAAATTTCTTATTTTAAAGTTACTAGACCAGATATCTGTGCATCAGTAGTTGTTTGCTCCGTTAAAGCATTCACTGTACTGTAGGTGTCTTGGCTTTATGAAGAGTGCCTTAATCGTCCTATTTCTCTGTTTCTCAGTGTTCTCACAGGAAGTTATGATGGAACGGTTCAGCTATGGACAGTTGAGAATCCAAAGCCAATATTCTCACTTGAACTGGACGAGAAGGTCAAGTGTGTCGAATGGCTCACCCTGGGTACGTTCCCTCCCTTTCCCCGAAAATTCTGTTTCACTCTCACTCTCTTGTGTACTGTAGACGGTTGTGCAACTTTTCTGTCAGCTTCCTGTTCCTCCCACTGTACTATTTCAAAAGGCACCAAGAAAGGTTATTACAAACGTATTTTTAGAGTCATCACAGAATGTTCCACAGAGTGAGTACAGCACTCTGTTCAGTGTCCCTAGCTATAAAAAACGGCCGCTGCGATTCAGATGGCGTAACTCTCGCCGTTGTCTATTCCTTTTGGAGACAATGATGATGGCACCTATACTGAATCTTCTGTCTTCAATGGAATGGATCTGTTCTCCTTTTACTGTTCGTTCTTTTAAGGTTTTAGGAGCATGGTTAGCTAATGGAGGTCGTTACAAATTTGTGGTTTTTCTTCCGTAAGTGCGTCCTCAACCGACTCCTGGAACTCGACGATTTCAATAATAGCGTGTTAGAGTTGTCACAGAACGGGTTTGACAAGTGATTCTTCTATGTTATCTACAAATTCTGACCATGTTTGGCTCATCCGCTAGTACATGAGTTTCTGTGATGAAGTAACTGCCCCTTGTTACGAAAAAGAATAATTGGTTGGTGCCTTTCGTCAACTTTTAACGAATCCGCTCGCTTGTAAAACTAGCGGCGCATTGATTATAAATATGTAGATTTTATTCTCTTGGGCTTTCGTTTGCTGTAGGGTTTTTACCTCCGAGCGAAGTGCATTGCTGACCTCTTCCTGAGGGTGGCTGTTCTTCCTCAGAATTTTTACACTAGATTTTCTTTCAAAAAGAGGTCATCCCCTTCAAGTAGACCGCTGCAAACCGTGACTAGCGGACAACGTCTTACAAGGGATGGGTCTCCGTTCGAATGTCTCTTGAAGGAAAGCTTGGCGTATTAGTGTTCCGAATCAGTTTTAAGAGATTCTTATTTACTTCTTGCGTCTTTTTGTCTGGTATCCCCTAAACATTTGTTAGACGCCCTTCGCCTGCCTAAGGGCAGAGAAGGCGCTCGGCGAGAACGATCTTGGATTTTCATAGTCACACCACTCTCGTTTGAACGGCCATGTTCCTGTTCTGGCGCAATTATTCCGGTGAGTCCACACCAAAGGGAAGCACTGGACTCGAGTTTCGCTCTTATTAGAGCTCATCAGCAATGCATATCCAATGGCCGTGTCGGGATTTGAACCCCGGACGTGTGACATGCGAGGCGAGCGTGTAACCACTACTCCATCAAGGCACGTTGGACGCATCTGAATTATCACGTCTGAACAAGCGAACTTGTTCACACTTGAGCGATGTGATTGAATGTGTATCGTGTCCGTTTGTTGGGACGTGAATTCCATTTTGCTGACGGACTGGTCGTTTCGTTCAGGTTGACCGTTTAGTTGAGAACAGAATCGTTCCCATGATGAACTACAGCGGAAAAATTGGGTGACATTCTTAACCGTACTGTGCTTGCTTGTATTCTGACCGACAGTCTCAAATTCTTACCCTTGTTTCAACTAGGCAGTTACCAGTCCCTCCCCATTCTGGTGAGGGCACAAGTTTTAACGCAGTTTTACGAATCACCGTGTAGGAACGGAAGAGGCCATGTGTTTACAACTGTGCAGCTTAGTTCATCAACAATACTCTCATGAACTATTAAACACTCACCTCGGCCTTTTCCTCAGAAATTCACTATCTGCCAGACTAACCCCGTGAGTAGTGTGGAGGTGAATCCACATAAGCATGTGGACAGATTGAGCACTGTGCGAACTTGACTTGCGACGTTTCATCAGCAAACGAGGAGACATAGTGATTCCACCCAACCATGCAATGACATCTCCACGTTTGGTGATCCGACGTCTTCAAGTTAATTACCAAGTTCGGTGAACAGATCAACAGCCACCTGACCAAGAACTAATAGGTTAGTCGCTTTTTTCACCATGGCAGCCCAAGCACACGACCGGTATTTGAGGGCACACATTGAATTTGACAAATGACTACGGCCTAAGGCTGTCACCTCGTGATGGCAGTCGGGCTTCAGTGATGCTGCGATCTACACTGGCTGGAACTCATTTCCACAATGTTTAACCATGCCAGGAAGGCCAACGATGAGCAGCCCGACGAAGAACAGCGAGCCCCCCCCCCTGCTGCGGGTAATCTTATTACTAGGCGGTCCGGAGGTGAATTCGTTCTGTCCTCTGCAATGGAAGTGTGTGGGGTAGTAAGGCGTTTCATTCAAGTGATGCTGTCTTCCTCATGGAAAACTGTATCAGATGAAGCCAGTATGCATGTACATGGTTTATGGCTGCTAAATTGTATATTCATTGAACAAACTACCCATGAATGCTGAGTCACTCTGTGAGCCAATAAAGTCTCAACTCTCACACCTTTTCGGTTCTCGGCTTGAAGAAAGCATGGCATACTACCAGGTCGTTCACACCTAAAAAGAAACAACCGAAAAGCCGTGTTGAGGTTGGAACCTCGGACATCCCAGCTAGTAGCTACTGGTCGTGAACCACCAACGTACTTGCGAATATGAGAAGGCCGACATCCCTTCCGTCACCCTCAGCTCGGAAGACTTCGGTAAACTAAAGTCGCTGATTAGGAACATTCGTTGCTGTTTATCCCAAATGCATTTATCGTCAGCGAAAAGGCGATATGTAGCGTAGCCCGATCGGGAACTTATTTACCATGCAAACATCCTACCAGCTAAAATATCGTAGACTTTGTTCGCTGCCTTTAATGGAACACAGCGTAAGATCGCCATCTCACCGGGTAGCCCGTTCTAGTGAATTGACCCTCTCATGTTGGCCCTCGACATGCTGTTCCGCCCAACTATGGTATACTAAGAGGTACAGTATCTTGAGACAGTTCTTTCGGCACAAAAGAAATTTGTTACACTTGCATTTATGGAGTTATCAGAAGACCGAGTAAGAAACTTCTAATGGGATGAGAAGTGCCGGGTTAAAATGCTCAATTCTGATTGGCTTACATTCTGACCAATCAGGGCATGTCTTCGTGTTGCCCGTAACCGATTCGGCACATCCGTCTAATCGACGTCCGTCATTTCGAACAGCTCGCCTTCGGACGTAAGTTCCGTTAGTTTCTTATTTATGCAGCTGTGTTCACTGTGTAGTTGGTCAAACAATTCAAAGGGCAGAGTTTAACATTATCCATGCCAATGATATCCATCACTTAAGCCTCGTTACCCTCATTAAAAGTTGCATCTTTCTAAAGCGTAATATAGTTAACTTGAGCTCGAGAAGGCTCAGGAGTCTGTGTGAGCTCTCTATTAAACGGCCTGTGGTTCGAATACACATCTAACTTATTCACTACTGCAGTCCAGTGCTCTCTTGGTTGTCCCACTTTCTTCACCTGCGCGCGAAATTCGCGTTGACAACAACAAGCGTACCTCCACTGCAGTATACCCTTGCGACATTCATCTATTTAGTGTTATATTTTTGGTCTTCCTTTCAATTTAGACATATGACGTATAATTCTTTGGCATATATCAGTAGTACTTTTGATGCATTTCGCTCGTGTCGTTTTTTCCCCGACAGATGAACATCAGGCAACCTTTGTTACCGGTGGGTTTGATCAGACTGCCCAACTCTGGGTGCACGATAGAAAATCGAACGAGGTCACATGCGTAGCTGTTTGTCGAGGCCATTCGGAAACGGTAATGACAGCAGCTGCCTTGTTCTTGGATTCGAACTGTGAGCCCTGCGTATTTGCAACCGGTTCCTGGGATGGGACCATCAAACTCTGGTCTGCCTGTAAGTTTTATTTTTGCCTTCTGCCCATGATTCGCTCTTTATTCACAATGACCGCCGTGCCCACATTCCTCCACCACTGCAGCACCCAAAGCGACAGACCTTTCAGAAGAAACTGGAGGCATAGCACATACACGAAAGTCCACCAGCAAAACACCAACTCGAGTAGGTCTTGATTTTCTTCACACTCAATAAATGATCAGATCCCTCGGTTGACCTTGGCGGGACATCGGGAGACTATTACCCGGGTTTGTTGGCTGTCCACTGTTCCCACTGATGAAAAAAGTTCGGCTCCATCAAACCCGAAATTGATTTCTGTCAGTTGGGATCATACTTTGCGTGTTTGGGACTGCCAGGTAGGGCAGCCGCAACAACAGAACACGGGTGGATCAGAAGTGCGCTGTATCGTTTCTAGTCATGCTATCAATGATGCAGATGCCACCCTGCAAGGAATCCTGACAGCGTCTTCCGACAATCGGGTCCGGATGTATGACCTACGCGCTCGAGGTGAGTAGTTTTTTGTTAGATTGTTCGTTTGTCTATGTTTATCCAGCAAACAAACACAATACAGTTCTGGAAGGGTTGGCTAAGGAACACACCGATAGATGGAGCTTTTGAGGTACAGTAGTTTTTTGCATAGCTACATGATGAAAATCATCCAGTTGTGATACCCTTCCGATGCCTAGGTGCCAGATCATTCGAAGGAACCACGAGGGCTATGCTACTTTCAGGTTGCCCAAGCCTATACCAGGAGCACTCAAGATGCCGGTGTTGAGTTTGTATCGCAAAACTTCGCGCCTTAACTACTGCGCCAGCCCAGTTACTGGAGCTAAAGGGCACCTCATATTTTACCTGTTTCGGCCCCAACTCTGATTCAAACAGTTCAGTCTTTTGGGGCCAATTTGCCGCGGCTCTGTACCGGCTCAGTCGCTGTTAACTAGTAGAAACTCTGGGTCTACAGGGGATACTTCACTACATGGTGTTATTTGGGCAGCTCCGCTACTTCTGAGGTTACCGCTTTATTTATCTTCCTCTGTCCTTGTAACCTCAGTCGGGTCAATATGTCTGTAATAAAGCTATCAGACATTCTTATCGCAAAGGTCATGTTGCGGTTAGTTTCCTTGATCGCACGTTTCTTTCGAGTAGTGACTGAGGTTTACATTCCATTCGCCTGCATAGATTGTTTCCAGAGTCCAGCTAAACCGTCCATCTTCTCTGTCGGCGCTTTTGTGAGTGGATTAATGAGTCGTCTTTTCCACTTATCGTTCTCTCAACGTCGCTTTCCTTTGTCCAGTGGATCGTATTAGGCCGTACAGAGATCAGCTGTTTCCGGTGCTCCCACCAGTCGCTCACAGAAATAGACATTTTGATTGTACCATAGTTACATAGGCGAAACCCCTCACCAAAACCGCTTTACCGCTCGCAGTTAGGCTCTGCTAGGGCCGAGAAGACTAACCTGTACATGATTGATCAGAAGATCGGATCGCTTGGTGTTCCAGCACCAAGACGAGCTCTGATTAGCTGAAAGCATGGGCCCAACAGCTAATCATGATTCACTATCTAATCGTTCAGGTGTAACACTTTTTCGGTGCCTATCTACCATGCCACACGAAGGAGGCACGAGAGCTGGGATGCTTCCAGGATGTCCAAACCTAGACAGGGGAATTCGAGGGGTAGATGTCGGGTTCGAACCACGGATCTTCCGGTCAGTAAATTCGCGCTCTAACCACTTGGTCCAATGGTGCGCACAGAAGGCCTGGGAATTTCCACAATGTGGTCGCCCCATACACTTTAAATGCAACGCGATGTGCTTGCTTCTTAGATCTGGTTTTTGGCTTTTTATACACGTGGATCTTTGTTGATTCTTTTTCCAAAAACACGGATGCATTACCGTTATTACACACCGCAACTCTGGGGCATTTCACCCATTCTCGAGCACTTTGATATCGCCGCCATGTCGAACTGCATCGCCTTTTCTTCCTGTGACCTTCTTGGCAGAAACAGCATGTTTTAGAACCAATTTATTGAGGTTCCCCTTTCTGTATGTATCCCATTAGTTATTTAATCCGATGTATCCCCGTCTGATTGGTGAAGCTTGGGAGTGAGCTTTTTAATTTGTTCCATACCAGCCGGTCATTTCAAGACTATCTTTCACGAAAGCAAAGGGGATATTGATTCAGCAAACTTTAGATTCAGCAAACTTTACCCCTTTTTTCACCATCAAGAAACAAAACCGTGACCTTCCATTGGTCTAGCAATTACATTAACTCCCTCAATGGACGTTCCTTAAAAAGGGGCCGCTACCATGGATGGTCGCTGCTAGCCGCGATCTGGAGGGCGATGACACCTGTGTTGGCTCTTTGAGGAATGGATGATGTGGTTTAGCCGACTGGACTAAGTACCCATAGAGTGAACCGTCTCACTAGTAACATTTTGTAAGCCATTCAATATGTTATGTCGATACTGCAACTGTCCGATCAGATTCATCGAGATCGCTTATCCATTCGTTTTCCTTTCCAGAGGCGCTGGCCTTGATCGGCTTCCCTGGTCATACTGCCTGGTTAACAGCAATTGCTTGGGCTCCTCATCGGGAAAACCACTTTGTTACCGGATCTATTGACCGTAGCGTTCGTCTATGGGATACCAGAAATCCGAAGGCCTCTCTGTACGACTTGATGGGACACACGGATATGGTTACTGATGTGGATTGGGCTGCCCCGTTAATCAGACACCAACCTTCCGACCGGCGGCATTACATTCTCAGCTCATCAGCTGATGGCACTGTGAAAATCTACAACTACCCGGAATAAGCTCCTCGCGTGGATTCTCTTCTCACTTGTACAGACCTGAAAATACAGCAGCCTCATGGCTTGTCATGTGTTTGTTTTTCAAGCTGGTGTTTATTTGTTTACGCGTTCCGTGTGCCCCAGTTGAGATCTCGTTGTTTATTCGGTTGGCGTCAGCTGGCTGTGAAGTGGGTATCGAAACCAGTGCTGGCTTTCTATCTTCAAATTACTTGACGGTTTTACGGCACTGGATGTCTCGTGTCCCGTGATCATTATGTGCCAGGCTAGTCCCGAGTTCTCTGAGAACCTTTCACCACAGACAGCTGGTGCACATCACGGGACTCCACGTGCAATTCAGGGTACGCTTTTTTAGAGGGTTATTCCATGCAATTGCGTTGTGTCGGTTTTTCCTGTAGATGAGGTCGTAAATTGTTTTATGCTTCGTGAGTAAAAACGAAGAATAGGTACGTTGGTTACCTGAGACTAGAATGTTCTTTAACCGACGTAGTGAGCAAAGAATGCTCCAAGGTTTAGTTGGTGGGTATTCGGGATATCGAAATCGTCGGTAGTTGTTGCTGACTTAATCGAGCATTCATCAAATTGACTATACTTCAGCTCCAAAAGGGATGAAATCGATTATTGACTGTTGGTTGTGTTTTAATCGCTACCTCTGTGGCTGACTCCTATGAGTGGTGCAGACAGATCCTTAAAGGGGCTAACTTGATTGGCTTTTCATTTACTGATCTAAAAGCAGCGTATTTCCTAGACGATTAGTCTAGCCACAATGACTCAGTGCACCGTACAATCGGAGCTAAGCCGAACCGTTCAACTGTAGCACCTTCCGGTGCCTAATTGCCATGCTGCCCGAGCAAGCACACGGGCTGAAATGCTGCCAGGTTGCCCAAGGCAAAAGCATTTGGGATGCCGGGTTTGAGTTTGAACCACGAACCCTTTGCACCTTAAACACTGGGCCATCTCGGGCTCTAAACGGAACTAGAGGTTGCGTTTTCCAACGCTACTATTTTTTTCTGAAGTGCAATTTTACCGCTCGTTCGGTGAATCATTATGTTGTGAATCGATCGGATTGCAGACAACTGGTCCGCATCTTTTCTTCCAGGGTGAACTTCTTTTGTCGAACCAGGAACGGTAAAATGTCACAGTGTAGAAAGCAGGCCGCCATCTGTTGAGAGTCAGCTAACGGGAATTCTATCCCCGTCCCTAAGTTAGTCTGTAAACACAGTCATGTGCAGTCTTCCCGGGAATGATTTGTTCTAACCCGCAACTCACTTGTGTGTATGATAATGCTGTCCACTTTGCCGTCCGGATATAAAATCGTTTTGTCTCCTGAGATGGGAGTGTGAGAAGAGTTGACCAAAATCTCCATGCTTTTGGAGCAGTGATGCTGTTTTTCTTTTAGGAAAAGTCTACCCTAAAAACCATCCACTTTGATTGGCCGTTCTCATCGGCACCCCGTGCACTGTGGTCGAGATAATTATGAGCAAAAGAGTCTGGTGCTACCCGCAGTGACGTCAGTTTCTTTCTTCTTGAGTCCTCCGCTCAGATCGGTTCCACTGTGTCAGGTTTAAAGATCGACAACTTACGTGATAGAGCACCTGAAAAAGTTCCGTCTCCAGTTTAAACAACCTTACTCCCCCACTGCTAGAAAAGGAAACCATACCCAAAGCTTGGAACTGAGAACCTTCCTTGATTTTGGAAAGCAGGTGTCCGATACAGCTGAAAGTCTAGTATTCTACGTTCTGCCTAATGTTCTGCGAGGCTAGCTGTTGTGGCTTTGTGGACGATCGTGCAACTCTGTATCGGTCCCTTGGCTTTCTGCACCGCCTACTACGGTGTATCAAAAGGCACGGTAGCTCTACACAGCCCTTTGTGTTGACAGGAAAATTATTACAGCTGTATTTATAGGATAGTCACAGAGTGTTCCAGAAGATCGTGCCAAAATCTCCGCGAGGGGGGCCGAGAAGCGTCGAGTCTAAGGTGCTTGACTCGGATTGGCTGGTATTCTGACCCATCAGGGCATGTTTTCATTTGGCCCGTGTCTTGCACGTGATACATCCGTCCAAATGATGTGGTGTTCGGTTATTAGGGACGGCTGGCCTCCGTACACTAGGGTACTAGTGGCGAAGTCCTTCAATTCGTCGTCTGCTGTTTTTCTCTCACTTTGTTTTCCCAACTGATCCCCTATCTCATCACCAAAGTCTAATTGCTATTTTTGTTCCAAGGACATTGACACTTTCGCTACCTTTCAGCTTGTCCCCAAAACAACGCACAACAATGCCTCTCATACTCACCTGTGGCTATCCCTGTTCGGGCAAATCCTCCGTTGTTGAGGGCTTGCTTCCAGCTCTTCAGTCCAGGCATCCCACTCACGAGTTTGTTGTGATTCCTGAACCGGCTATGCGAGCGACAACGTTGACCACTGCTCATGACGGTCGTCAAGAGATCTATGCAGATTCGGCTAAAGAGCGCGAACTTCGGGGTCATCACAAGTCCGAGGTATGAAATGTCCCGATCATATTTTCAACTGGTTCTACTGTTTCTTTGCGTCCCACCCTATCGCAGCAGTGATAATTTCATTGTTACTCTTGGGTGTGTACACCAACGGCATTCGTTTTCACTTAGGTGCCCATGTTTTCATCTATTTACTACCCCCAAACGACCAAAACTGATGCTTTTATCACAATCCTGGCTAGTCTGTCGTTTTATTTGAATTGTATTCGTACTTGGACAGGGCCTGCCCGTACGGATGACCCACGGATTTTCTAAAGAGGGTTTTTGATGGACCGGTATCTACAATTTTCATATTGACCACAAAAAACTGCAATCGTCTAACTTTGAGAGGAGGACAGATTACAGTGGGTTGGTTATGAGGCACACACATTACTGGAGCTCTGATCAGAGACGTAAACTCAACGCCAACCGACCGGGTACACGTTCGCGTGTTCAGACGCATGTATCTTCCGTCGCATGTCACATGTTTGGAGTTCAGACTCCAGCATGATCAAAGATACGCACTGTTGACAAGCCGTAATAAGCGCAAAACTCGAGTTCAGTGCTTCACCCTTTTGGTGTGAACTCACCAGTCAATCGCCGTCACATTCCCATTGCTACGGACGTCGGCTATCACACTTGAAAAGAGTTGGATAAATGTAGCAAAAACACGTATGGACTTTCTCGTCATAAGCTGACAAGTGATTGTCGCTTCCAGGACAGCTGTCCATTCAGTTAGTTTCAGTCATGAGGCTTATCTAAAATTCAAACATCTCCCCTAATAGACATTGTTGCGTATTGTGCATTGTGTGCCACAACGGTGGTTTGCCTGCAACAAACGGATGCTAGAGTCTTCATTCCCCCTGTATTGTGTTGGTACTCAAATCTTTAGCATCTTCATTGTCATCTAATAGCATACTGCACAATCACCCCCTCCCCCCCGCCGGTGGACCATTGTATCCGTCCACTTGGTGTCTCTCACAGTTACATTTTTTATGTACTGGCTCACCTAACATACTTCGACCATGCTCAACACCCTAAGTTTCTCTTCGATAGTTTTCATTTTGCTCAGTGACACACGACCTAGCATACTGTTCTGTCCTACTAACTGGGCTAATCTGTCTGTGGACCAAAATGTGGTCCTTAGGAAGTAGCTTAGCAAGCGAAATCGGCTTTCTGTAATCACTTCTTTGATTACCCGTAATGCATGTTAGCAAGAACTGTACATGCAAGGAAACGTACAAGTAGTTCACTGTCCACAAAGCTTGGTTCTCTACCACCAGAAATATGCGTGGTTTGTTTCCGGAAAAGTTTGCCACATTTTTTTTCTGGATAACGATTAGCTTTTGACACAAAAACTTTGTCAGGCCAAGTTTCCGGAGGCCAGCCGCTCCTAATCCCCGAACATCACGTCGACGGATTTGCCACACGTGGGCTACGGACTAAACGAGGGCATCCCTTGATTGGTCAAAATATCAGCCAATCTGGATCGAGTATCTATAGCTCGACGGTTCTCCTCCCCCCCTCACGTAGAGTCTAGTGCGATCTTGTGAAATACCGTGTGATTACCCTATAAACGCGGCTGTAATAATATTCCTTTGTTCCGTGCCTTCTGGTGTCAGTGGACGGGGCAGGAAGCCAACGACTGACACAGAAGTTACACTACCGTCAGCAAGCTACAAAACTAATTTACCAAGGTTATTTGAGATTTAAGAGAAAAAAGAACAAGTCCGCGTGGTTTGCTTTCAAAGAACGTGACCGGTCCAAGCAGGACTGTGAGATGAGCACTAATCAGGTAGCATCGGCTTACCCCGATCTCGTCTATTCTTATAAGCGTGTTGGCGGGATTACACTCGCTATCGATTCGATAAAAACTGCGGCGACCTCTTAGAATTTTGGGTCCGAAGGCCATCGTTTCCTTTTACGCTTTAAAAACCAGATACATTCACTGAATCTTTTTAGGTGTTTGGCTTAATGATGAGCAAGGCTCCTATTCGCCTACAAGCAAAGCGTCTGGAAACAAATATCCTTTTTTCAAGTTATCTGTCATTGGGTCACTTGTTTCAGCTCAGGAGAGGTCACCTGACGTGACTTGTATATTTTTTGAAGAGACCAATTAAAATTGCTTTCTTCTAAGGGTTGGTATCGTTGGTATCTGTTCTGTTTTCTTCGCCGTTCATTTCCAGCCCCATACTGCCTTTTTAGCGAGATCGTTCGAATAATCTATATTTCTGGGTAGCTCCTTTTTGTCATCGGCTTTTTCACTCGTGAACCAATTAGTTGCCGCCGATCGGGTTGTCTTCGTTGCCTCTATGCTCATACGTCACATTTCATCGTATTACAACGGAAATGTGCCTAAATGGACAAAATAGTCGTTATTTACCTTCATTCTGGTTGGATTTCTGACTTGCCTGCTTTCTGTCATAGCGGTTTTAAGTCTGAGGTCAACCAATCAGGCCAGTTTATTGATATTGTGCATTGTGTTTCTACTCGGACTTACTTGCCAATTCATCTGACAAACGATTGGTCTACCTATTTCACTCAATTGTCCCAGATAGAACGGGCCCTGTCATCGCGCCGTGGAGATCGGGATAATAAAGTTTCTCAACTTGTGGTTATCATGGACGCCCCAAATTACATCAAGGGCTATCGGTATGAGCTGTACTGCCTGGCCAAATCATTGAAGCATCCACATCTGGTCCTGTTTTGTGACACACATTCAGACAAATGTCGCGAGTGGAATAAAAAGGTACGTGGGATATTTTAACGTATTTCTCCTACCTTGTTTGAATGTTTCTGCACTTCTATTCCCTGCATTCATTATGCGTTGGAGATTTCAAGGCTTTTCTTCTTCAGTGCTTCGTCTGTTGGTTCAAAAGGATGTCATGGGCTTCTCAAATGAGCTTGACTTTGGAATTACTTTCCTCTAATTTCGTTTTAAAGTACTTCAACTTCTCATTACCATTAACGGAGCAATGAAGACGATGATTGAGCGCATCAACTAAACGGCATGATATCGGGTCGGATGTGAAGATGGAATGACTGACCAATCACACAGCATAAAGCCGTGAAGTTACACAGTAGTTTTGTTTTTCCGAGTATCCGTTACAACTCACGTCGAGAAGTGAGAAACGTGGGGACTAATGTTGGTGGGAGACCTCACCCCTTCTCGCGGAAAATTACCAGAGGCTAAATAATTCTCCTTTTGCTACTCTCTTGAGCCGATTGCTGTACTCGACCAGCTTTTGTATGCACATCGTATGTGATATGCTGTAAATCTACCACAAATCCTGTATCGCTCCATTACACATCCGGTAATAGCTATCACCCCTCAGTGTAGGGATCAGGCATGTGTGTTGCATTGATCCTTTGGGTTTCTCAACTTTCGATCGTGCCAGGAAGACGTAAGAGTACGGTAGTACGTGGTTGTCAGACAGTTTTCTGTGATAACCCTGTGAAGATAGTAGCCTTAGGGATCGGTGTCTCTATATTTATGGAAGCACGATGTCACTTTCAACCTAAGGTTCGAAATGTTAGCTCGGAAAACCGAAAAATCCCTCGCTAAAATTTTGACCGTGATCGCTAGCACAACATCATCTCGTATAACTCAGAGTTGAGGTGGAGACTTACTGGCCAGAAGGCTCCGCATCTCGACTGTTGCTGTCCTTGTTTGGACAAGCTGCCAGTGTCTCAGCCCTCACGCTCCCTTCGGGTAGCATGGCAGTTTGCTCAGAATGAGTGTAACAGCTGACCGATTAAAACTGATTGTAAAAAAAATTCGAGTGATGTGGAATCGAATGCGCGAAATGAATGACCGGAAGGTCCGTGGTTCGACTTCTGCGTCTCAACCCTCGTGCTTCCTTCGGTGGTATGGCAGCAAGGAGCGATGACTTTATTCAATAAAGCCCCCGGACACCGTGTTCCAGACAGGCACTATGGATTCCCAGGAATCCCATCCGGATACATCCTACCTTCCCAGCTAGCAAGAGCGTCCATAGTGTGTTGCTCGTAGACCACCAACTGCGAACCACTCCAGGGCTGGATTGTGTAGCCATGAGGTACCGGTGGAGATAATCCCGAAAGGATACCGTTTCATCTGATCATTTCCTTATGCATTTGGATTCACATTCCTTTCGGACCTCACGGAACATTGTAAATTCATCCAAAGGGTTTCTGTAGCTCAACAGTGTCTAGGTGAGCAGGATAACAGGCATTTCCATATGACGACCTTTACGTCCATCTGTTCAGACCGTCCGAATTGTGGCCGGACAGCTCAGCCTCAGCGGCTTCTGTCGATTCCGCAACATACGGTTGCAGCAACTAGCGACATCGGTGACACATGCACATCCTTCGCGAATGAAATATTGTGGCGACGATAGCCAAAGCCCAAAGTATGGCGGAGACTTCCACCTCATTCGGTCCACTGGCCGACACAAGCTCTCCCCCGAGTTCACCACCTCACATAGCATCCTACGGGATTGCCCTTTCTCGTCATCCCTCTTCTAATTCGTTGTCGATGTGTTGTTTGAAGCTTCCTTTCGTACCACTGGCACTCCTTGTTTTTGCTAATAATTCTACGCACATTGACAACCACACAGTCACGTGTCAACTCGGTTTATCTAACACAGCTCTCGATCCGCTCGCCAGTTCCACACCCTCGATTCTATTCACGATGTGAAACTCAGTAATTTCCGCCGCCTCGGCTATCACCTTTGTGGTGTGAATCGCAGTCTCCGTTTTGAAACTTCCACATTCTCCAGATCTATTCTGTATCTGTGTCTAACGTATTTATCGCCATCGCTGAGTTTGGTATTCTTCCGCATTTCTTAGTGGTCAGTTCATCCTCCTTTTGTGTAGAAACCTGTTGACCGCATACCTGACTATTATCCTGTGGACGATCAGTGAGTGATTCGGGATAAGTTTGTCGGATGTTCTTCCGTTATGGTTTCACTCTTTTCTGTTTGACATAGGAAAGCTGTCAATCAACTCATTCGATAGATGACTAACGTGCACGCCGATTACAAGTCCTTGCTCTGATACCTCTGACAACAAGTTGCTTTCCTGATATTGGTTTGCCGGATTCGAGGAGTTGACCACCAGCTTTCTGTATTTTTCCCTTATCCAGGTTGACCGCTACCCGGATGACCTTATCACGGATATGATCGCCCGCTTTGAACCCCCGCAGTCTTCACAACGATGGGATAGCCCTCTGTTAACGATCCGGCCGGATCAATGGTCTTGTGTGGAAGACATTGATATCAGCATTATCCTAACAGAACTCGAGAATCTCCTCTTCGACGCAAGTCGACGCGCCGTCAAACCAAACCGTTCGACACAACTCGCTCCACGTGTTTCAACTGACCTTCTGCAGGTAAGTGATGGTCCACACTGACCCGTTTGTGAATGGCCTCGAAGGCTATTGGAAATGGTAGTTCACTATCTGTGTTGTTAGATTTTGCAACATCAAGGCATCTCTGACACTGTTTCACTGATGTCTACAGTAAAACACATCCACGACTTAGGGACACGCCTCTGTCAAGTCTGGAAATTATCCCTCCCCAAAAGTCCCACCACAGGTCAGGACATTCAGAATGGTCCTTTGGATGTCCACTAGGGATAGTGCCGAATCGAATGCCTTCGTTCAATTCTTTCCTCGTCCTTAAAATGCGGTCACTTGTTTTCTCAGACTTCACCCCATGAGACTCATTCTTCAATTGGATAACAGTGAGCCCTTATATCAGATGGGCTACTGAATGTCCCTTTTGGGAATGAATTAGTTGCTGCTGAATTTCTCGATTGATTGCTCGTGTATATCACTAGCCACACAGCCTTCTCGAAACTGCCTATTTTACCTACTTTTGTTTAGGAACTGGAGCGTGCAACTCAACTGATCGTCGATCACATCTTATCCAGTCAGTCAATGGGTGTGCAATCGATCTCTCTTCCACCATCAATCGTGGCATCGGAAAAGTTCATGTCTGATGTAGCAAACACACAGCTATCGCTTGTCGGAAGAGAGGCGCAGTTCTCGTTGGCTAACCTCGCCAGAGCCAAACGCCGCTATATCACACTTCAGCGAGCAAAACTGGGAGACCTGACAGTTCCCCCGAATATCGTCTCCCTTGCTGCCGGTTTCTTACGTTTTCTGGCAACATCTGAAGGGATTTCAGACTTTCTTCATACTGGTTAAATATTTTTTAGAATTCGAAATATGACTTTGACTTCCATTGGAGACTTTTCAAACTAAGGAAGGATTTGTCGGTCATTTTACACGTTCCGCAGAGGACACGGAGTCTATACCGAGTAGGTTGTTTAAGGTGTTCTCGATTTCTTAACGCTTTTGACAGTGGATAAACCTATTACTGCGTCTTCTGGCGTCAAATTGACAGCCACAATTTTCGGAGTCTGGTAGCTCGAAATAACCGATCATCATGTCGAGTGGGTGAATGCCGCGAACAGACTACGCACTAAATAGGGTGTGCTCGATTGGTCAGAATGTGGTCATCCCGGCGCCTCTCACCCTACCAAGGAGATTCTACCGACCATACCTTGAGTATATCTGTAGCAATCTTCCGTCTCCTCCATTAAGGGCCGTCTCAAGCTACCATGCCTTTTCAGGCACTGTAGTGGGCGGAACAGTGAGTCGAGGATTAACACAGGAATTGAAATCCACAACAACCGATGATAACCTAAATGCGGGATGTCTATTTCATCAGAACACTTCTAAGCATTTCGAAGAAGCCTATTGAAATTCTGACGCGTGGTATATATATGGGTCTTCTCCCAAAGATGCAGCTGACAGCCTGATTACCAAACTCAACTTCGACGCTAAATCTGGACGAACTTTTTGAAAACAGGTTTAGAACATGTTTCAAAAACCCATTTTGCTTAAGTTGATGAAGCATGTGAAGTTCAACTTTTGCTGTCGAGACCAGGGACAAATAAACATGATCATTTCATAGATTTCGTACTCCCTTAGCTTCGCACCAACGCCGTGACCCAAATGTATTGGGTGGGCAAATTTCCTCGTTCAGTATTCACTGCTAGTGAAGAAATGGACATTCTTCACTGCGGTGCCGTTTACCAACGAATACGAACCAAACCAGTAGATACGGAAGTAAACATTCCATCTGCACAGAGTCTTTGAGGAGTGAACATTAATAGGCATCTTGAACTTTCCTGAACGTTCTTTGAATACCGAACACTAATTAACAGGCACTAAAAGCGACTCCGCAATTCCTGTATCAACCTTCATCTTCCGTCAGATGCGGTAACGGAGCTTGGACACAAGATTCAGCTTACTTCGATTCAGTGGAGTCAACGCTTACTTAAATGATTCCCTTCAAAGATGTCCTTGATGCAGTGCGCAGCGTTTTCCCAGGGTTTGAACGACATGGTGCAACGCTGTAGCCACCATGGATCCAACTTGGATCGATTACAAAGGTCACATTGAAGCCTATTAACGTGTCGATATTTTCAGTTGGACTCGACTTACATCCGTCAAGTCTTTTCAGGCGCTACTGTCACCAACACTTTTACATCCCAGTTGCATTAAAAAATTCTTGTATTGTGACTTGCTCAAATACACTCGTATAAATACAAATATAAGATCGCGTTTTCATTCCAGCACGTAGGTTTCAAGGCAAAGCGTCATCCTGTTGGCGCAATGAATGCAGGTTTATGGAGCCTCTGGTCCATCGAAGGACTTAGGGCTACAGTGTTTAAAGAAAACGAGTTGTTTTGACAAGCGCTGTTGAGTTTCAACAGCCAAGAGAGTCAAGAAAAATGACTGAATGAGATTCACTCACGCGATCTGAATAGAAACTGACAACAAGAACGCCACTGATATCGGTTGGCAGCCATATCTTGTAGTGTCTCCAACCAGGTACAGTGAGGACAACGCGGTCCCCATCCTGGAAGGCGAGTAGCACCGACAGCACCCAAGCGTCTCGTGATCTCCTTCATACTCCTCTGACAAGTAAAGGGTTAGCCATCTCTACGCCACTCCGAATTGGGCATGGAAAACAGCACTCTTCGGCAAACGACGGTTCGGCATACACAGCACATATCCCAACCAACGCATAGCAAAAGCTACCGCATACAACCAGGGAGAGCGGTCAAAATGCGCCAGTGCTGAAGTCTAGAGCTACGCCTACATCAGCCCTACTTGTAACAAAATCTGGCGATTCTTTGCATCACGACGGCAAGTGGAGAAGATGCCCGCCGGAACGGTAATTGAGAAGCCAAGTCATGATCAGGTGATGATTGTAGTTGACCGAGCTTCGAAAAAAAACGACAGTATTCCACAATCCTGAATTATCGCTGTGAAACTCTGTGGCACACTTGACATAAATGTTCGGAACATCAAACCAGAGAAATGAATATTCAGGCTAACACTACCTTGCCAGTGCGAGCTGGATGCGTCTTAATCATCATGTCTGAGCAGACGGACCTATTTGGTTTGCGCGGCAGCTCGAACGATCATCTAAAGATGGAAAGAAAAAATAATCGTTCAACTGTAACATTTAAGTGTCTAGCTGCCATGCCACCCGTAGGAAGCACGAGGGATGGGATACTGCCAGGTTGCCCAAGCCTAGACAGAAATCACGATGCAGAGATGGGAATCAAACCACGCACCTTCCGGTCAGTAGACTCGCGCCTCAACCACAGCCATCTCGACGACCTAGAAGCTAACCCGGTTGTTTCGATCGGTCGACATATCTGTTGTAAGGCGCCAAGGACACTTGAGACCTGAGATGTAATAACGGCGAAACTTGATTTCAGTGCTTCCCTTCTTTGGTGTGGACTCACTGGAATGATTGTGCCAAGGTAAAAGGACTGTTCAAACGAGTGATGCGAACGCGAATTCTATGGATCCCGCAACTACTCAGACTTAGCAAACCACCATTACACAACGAGGTGCAAAATGCTCCTAAGCCAACATATTTGCTGTGCAACCAGTCGGATAGAGGCCAACCACGTGTACTGATCAGCTATTCCTCAGCTTCTAATCACCCTTTGATCCGAGTACCCTGCTATTTGGCTCAGACCCGAAAACAGATTGTTTCTTCTGTGACGTGATAACTCCCGGTTGGTGAGGGGAAGACAAGTTTCCATGATAAATTGTGTAAACAGAGCTCCTCAACACGTTTCTTCCAAACAAGTTTGAACTCACCTCCAGCAACACAAGTCTAGGTTAGCTGAGGTGTTCCACTGGAACACTACTAGCGAGAGAGTTTTTAGGCATGATGCGACAAGTTTGGTAGCCATATTCAAAGCTGTAGTATGCTGCTTGTTTGTCTGAGAACAGAGAGCTGAGACTTACGGATGGACAACGATTAAGCTGGGAGTGACATTTAGCGTATCTCATTACAATGCTCAAAATTCATCGATCACATTACTTAAATAAATCGTTCATCCGTATCACCCTTTCGGTGCCCAACTGCCACGCCACCAGAAGGAAGCACGAGGGCTGGAATACTGTCAGTTTGCGTAAGCCTACACAGGGAAAGTCAAGAGGCAGAGGTCGGGTTCAAATCACGGACCTTCTGGTCAGTAAATTCACGCACTAACCACTAAGCCATCTCACCTCCATCACATTACTTACCATACCCGGAGACCGCCAAGGAAAAGCAAGATATTCAACCGCTTGTCATAGAGTAGTCCAGAATAAGTCAGAGCTGATCGTCGGGCTCGAGATGGCTCAGTGGTTAATGCGCGAACTTACTGATCGGAACGTTGGTGGTGAGGTGAGAGCTAGGTACTGGAAGGCTATCGCGGATGAACGGTGATTGTTTGTTTTATTGGGCCTGATGGTAAGGGTTGTTATGGGCTCTTTCAGAGAAATTAACTTGGTTGTGATAACCACTGAGCTAGCTCGAGCTCAGGAGGCCAAGTTACGAACCGCAAGGTCCGCGGTTCGAATCCAACCTCAGCATCTCGACTATTCCTGCCTAGACCTGACGGTACCTCAGTCCTGAAGCCTCCTTCCGTTTGTATGGCAGCTGCGCACCTGAACGATTGATTCGAGTCTGTGATTTGGGAAGCTCTTCCGCTGGCATCCCCACCGCTGTCCCACGATTAGGAAAACTGAAAACCTCACAGTTGACTACCACCATCCAGATAATATTCAATCAGGATCTATGGTGAAAAAATCAATCGCTGAAAAAGCGAGCCACAACGTCATCTACCAAAAATCCAATTAGATTGAATACGGTTGACTGAAATTGAGGCGACGGAGGGGCGTGTGGTGATTTGTTTCGATCATTTCTATACGCAGGTGCCATCGGATCGTTTTTTTGTCTGTGTAAACAGATGGGTGCATGACATTGGATAGGCAGCGAAAATTGGGAGAAATAAGCACTGGATCAGAGGAATAAAATTGCGAGGTGTAGGTAGGAAGATAAAAGCCCGCACCGATCAGTGAATGGGTGGGGATAATTTACAGCACAAAAAAACGTCATCGATTCTAACTAAGCTAGGAAAGAAGTAACAACACATGTGTTCCAGCCCCCGTTTGGTAATAAGAAAAGAAAGCCGTGAACTACAAGGTACGAATGAGTGTTTTGCCGATTACTTTGAGGGGGAGAAATAGAATGAACGGTTTTGCAAAAAAAGAGGTCCGCAATAGACAGCCCGACAACCACCACGGCTATAGGCTACCTCTGTGCCGAAAGAAGAGAGAGGCATAAGCAACGTTGCCCAAATGTAATGTAAGAAGAGAACGGATGGGAAAGTGAAGAAAGCGACCGAATGTATGTTGGGAAGCGGCGATTGGGTGATTGCGCGCCTAATGAGACGTATGATACCGAACCGTAATGCACAACCACAAAAACGTCCAAAGTGGTAGGTCCAAGAGGACTTGCGAAAACGAAGCTGTCCTCCTCTGGGTTCAAAAAAATCTGTCTCATCAAGAGTTTCATCAACTGTGGTCAAAGCGAAACGGTTAGTAAACGCAGATCGCAGCAGCAAGCCATAGTAGCTGAAGGGAGAAGGCGGTTAGTGCGGGGCAAAACAGTTAGGAGACAGGGCGATGAGGTGTTCAATTGTATATATTGGTGCGGGATAATCCGGCTCATGGTAGAATAGCGGAAGGGGAATCGCGTAATGGCGTTCAGCCACGGCGAGTGCCCGTGTCTTTTCGACGGTAGCCCTGTAGAACAGAGAGATTGTAATCATTGAGGTACGGCACAGAGGAGCACGCTCCTATCAAGCAAATAACATAATGCTGTAGCATAATAAATCGGTACCATAACTTCATCCAGTGATGCCCACCTTAGATTTACCTTTAAAACTGATTTAAGTAAGAGTAACATATATCCGCAAAAGCAACTTACATCTTGCCTTTCCCGTTGTTCGTAAAATAGGAAATCGTCGAATATGGACAGTGTATGCGAATAGTTTGCAAAAACCTCCATCACCTGTCGACCTCGTTCCAAGGGTAGCTCGGTCGCGTCACGTGAATGGGTCACTGGTTTATTTTCATTGCTTTCGATACGAATGTGACGTAGGGCGGTATTAGGGACATCCTTGACAAATATCCATCTCACCGAAAAGGCACCTTGCCACTTGTCCTGGGCCCACACACGAACTCGAGTATCGTAATCCACGCGTGAAGTCATCTCAGCCATGCCACAAAAATGCCCCGACCCGTTGACTGAGAAGAACAAGTAGATAGGGTATTGATTATTGGCGCCCACATACGCGCTATCCAATTTTTTGTTACCTAGCTCCGTTGAACACCAGACAGAGTATTTAATGGAACGATGGATGTCGTCTTCAGAAAACGATTTGATAACGAAAAACCGAGCCTTCTCCACATTGGTGTCGAAAGTGGCCGGATTTATTGATTTCGCAAGCCGTTGGTAGAGGGCTTCTGATTCACGTTGGAACATTCGCATCGACTCATCGTAGGATACTGATCCTCCACAACTACCACCAGCCTTGTTTACCACAGCCGTACTTTCATCAGCAGCACCAGCACTGGATCTGAATGACGTCGGGTTCTGCTCTCCATTTGCAGTAGAAGCTTTAGTTGGCGCACTGGCAATCACCACAGGTGTCGTAGTTGAGGGCTGCGAGGACGGTCGACTAGTGGCAGTTACCAGCATACTACCGGGTAGACGTTTTGCAGACCATCCTGTGGTGGAGCCGACAAGCACCGCTGCAGATCCGCGAGGGGGCTGTCCAGCGATATTTGCCCAAGTCTTGGCTCTAGGTGCCTCCCCCGCAGCACTTGATGGTGGCTGAGCGATTGGTCGTCCAGCACTGTTGAGACTCATGGAATTCGGAACGACAGGTGGCACAGGTCCCCCAGTTCGCGGAGAAGATCCCACACCTGGACGAGCAGTGACCTGATAAATAATTGAAGAAACGGTATTGGTAATCGGAGGAGACTTGACCCAGTTCAACTGAATCACAGACTACTACAGAGCGGGCAACTGCTGAAATTCACTAATCTTCATAGAGGGACTAGCGCTTTTATTATATATATA